AAACTATGCATTAGAAATACACTTATCGTATGCAACACAATCACACGCATCCGATGCAACGTCGTCTTGCCATATACAAAACTGCGTGGAAAGGTGGTACGCAATTTTAAAATATTATATGTGTAGAATATCGCAATGCTACATTACGTTATATAGTATGAGAAGAGATAGTAGTACTTCCTAGTGAGTACCTATCCACCTTCTGCTATCATTTTTGTTATTAACGTCAAAGGGAGATATCGAAGCAAGAAATTAATAAAAGTTTTTTGTATTTTTTTCCTAGTTATATTAAGATATGAAACATGGTTTTATATAATGGAATAACACATTGTATTGTACATGTTTATGTATTTGTTTACATTAGAAATCATAAATTTTATAAGAATTTTTTAAACATAAAATTTAATTTAATTTTTTAACTAAATATTTTCTTTGTGGCGTGAATATGTTCGTTTATGAACATAAGACTATGTAAATCACTCTCAAACTCACTCTGAGAATCAGAAAACATGATATCAATTTTTACTCGTGCGTCCGCTAGGAAGTGACAAATATCTGACGCCAAACGAACGTTGCATACGTAGTTCAAGTGTGTACTCCAACGTAGGGGCGTTGCATCTCATACGTTGCGTACGTGAGACCAGTTAATTCATATTTTCTGAGTAATTACGTACATACGTATATACGTTTGCATATAGAGAACCTACATTTCTACATAGAGTCAATATACTTGTCTCGCTTTTTCTAATATAATTTTCAACTAATTCAAAAAGAGAAAAACATATTGAAAAATGTTACGTGTAATTTACGCGTAGAGCTTTAATGACAAGTGTTCATCTTTGTGTCTTCTGATTTACTAGAACGATACCATCCCTATTTTCGTAGTCATAGATATAGTATAGCATAGATTGGCAAGGAAGTAATTATGGCGAATTTGGCGTTAACCTTACTTTTTAACCGACTTCAAAAAAAGGAAGAGGTACTCAATGCGACTATATTTTTTTATGTTCTTTTTTATGATTATTTTTTATTTGGAAACTGATGCTTCTCATGTGGTCCCATATAAATTGGTCAAGATCTGTGCAGTAGTTTTTGAGTTATCCATAATAATGCGTATTTAATTGACTTCGAATAGGTAAATTGATGATGTTCTCATTATATATATGTAGAAGTCGCTAGTACAAGACTTTTAATTTTACCGCTTGTATTTAAATATGAGACGGCGCTGTCGTCGCGTCACAAGCGAAAATACATCGAAGCCTAAATCGCGCTAACAAAGTTCCTAAGTAAAAAGCAGTGTATATAGAATAACTCCAAACTACCACTCGGAGCATTGGCCGCTCCCCAGGCCGATCACCTTGCACGGCGGGAGAATCTCCCCTTTTCCTTCCACTGCCAAAAATATATTTAATGAAGGATATATTATTCAAAATTTATACATGTTAAAACATTTATGAGTTTTTGTTTTGGTAAATTCCTAGGATCGTTGGTTTTTTTTTAAATTTATTAGCCAAATTAAGACTTTCTTCATATGGAATTTGGTTATGTGCTCTTAATTCTATATAATGCCGATCACTACTTCTACCATGAATATCTATCATCCTCTTTTTGTCGCCAAATGTATTTTTAACTAATTTAATATCATGGGGGCCGACGTATCCATCAACTTTGGTTGCTTAAATATCAAAATGTATTTGTGAGTTTCAAAGCTGCTCTGATGATACTATTATTAAGAATGCTATTTACATGTTTGTTTCCTACTGACCAAATGCGCATGGCTTTGGCATTATACTCGGGGTTATCTGCTCGTCAGCTGTATACTGGTTTGACATAAATATATTAAACGAGAAAATAAAATTAAACATAGTAACTGTGTTCTTATGATGTTTAAACTTTAAAGTAGGAATCGGTTTCAGCCTTCGCCAATTTTCTTCGTTAACAACGCAATTGGAAGAGTGCTTTGAGAAAATACGACTATTCTTAGTTCAATGATTTTTTGGGCCCGTGGAATTACTCTCATCCAATGTTCCTTATAATTTTTAGGTACTACTTATATAACGAAAATATAAAGATGAATGTCGATATGGGGTTGTCAACTATGCCGATATGCCTTAAGTCCACATCAATACTGTTTAAATAAATTTAAATGTATTTTAGCGATTATATAAACAAATACAGTGTAATTTTTACAGAAAACAAATTTGTTATTTTTAAAATCAATCTGAAGTACAGTTTACTTACAGTTATAATGTAATTTAATTCTTGGTTAATAAAAACGTACACACCTGTGGAAGTGTACGAATTCTTTACGGGAAGAATAACATGTCATCTATAGTGATATATTTTACATAAAGACGACAAATATACAATAATAAATACGACTTAATTACAATTACATTTGTGAAATACATCAGCGAGTACGATCTTGCACAAATAAATACTATCTTATTAACTTTTATAATTAGTAGTGTAAAAAGAGATTAAAGATGACCACTTGACATGTCTATTTCCACGCATGAATTACACACAACATTTTTATCTCTCTTTGCCTTATTTGAAAATTAAATTAGTAAAAGCGAGACAAATATATTGACTCAATTTATGTACAATTGTAGGTTCTCTCTACGCATGCGTACGTGTATATAATTACTCTAAGGTTTATAACCCTTATTGTCACACTATACTATAAATACTATATACTACAAAAATAACGTTGAAAACAAGCATCCAGACGCAGACTATTTATTTTTGCCACTGCGCCACGGAATCGTCATTTATTTTTTAATTAATTAATTAATTACTATTATAATAAGTGCGTTTTTTATTTTATATTTTCTTTATATTTTTGTGCCAATTTTTTTTTTACAATTATAAATTGTAGAGATAAAATTACAAATTGCTGTGTGTAAAACACATTGATTTCTTAACCTCATCGGCATTTTTACTAAATCCCCACGTTAACAAATTTATTTCTCATAAATAATTCAGTATCTAGCATTTCTTATTAATTTATGTTCAGTATAGAGATCTAAGTTTTATATCGAATATCGATAAACAATATATCAATAAAGATTTCATATCGATCAAATTATTCGAGTATAGACATTTACAGCACTACTGTAATTCATTAATGTTGTCAGCACTGTTTGTCAAAAACTAAATGTCATATCTTGATGTTGGTAGAGTAGCTTGGCATACTTTCCATAGAGATATAAATATACCTATGAAGACGGCATATTACACACTATAGAAAATAATAGTTATACAAATATCTATAATATCGACACACACTTGTCAAAAACAGTTTTGTCTCTTTTTAACAAAGCAGTAGCTGCAATAGAAAAGAGAGACAACTACAATTTGTCAAGTGCTTATTTTGGTAACACTTTCGTTTGACATCATTAGTTCATCCATGCGTGACTGCGTCGCTATGTTAAGCGCCAAGTTTTGTGATAGATCTGCTGTCAAACTTTCAAAAAGCAGTGACAAAGTGTCGTATAGAAACTATTTTAATAAATTAATTCTGTTCAGAAATGAATGTATAATAGTAATAATCTTTATATAAAGAAATTTTTAATACAATTTCTAATTTTTATATACATAAAAATTACGTGTCACATTGTTTGTCCACGATGAACTCCTAAACTATTAAACTGATTGCAATGAAATTTTGCACACTGTGTGCAGTTTGGTTTAACTTGAGAGATAGGATAGTTTTTATCCCTATAAGAGACCCTCAATATTTTTTATTACGAATTTAAGAATTTTATAGAACACAGGGGCGTCGGAGAGGGCAGAAGAAAGTCTGTTTGGCCAGCTAGTAGTTTATAAATCCTGGATATCATATTTCATCCACCGTTTCATGATCATGCCAGATTTTAGAATTTTAAATGAACAAAATTAATGTACCTGCTAAAAATTATAATATTTTTCATTTAAAATCTGAATAAAAATTAAATATGATATACAGTAGGACTGAACATGCTTGTATAACTTACCATTTTTGATCATTGATCACAAATGGTAAGTTATACAAGCATGATCAATTATGTGCAGAACATTCCTATATACAAATTTTTACTCAACTGATTTTTAAAACAGTTTATTTAATTTTTACTCAACTAATCATTATTATTTTATATTAAAAGTACTATAATACGGGATTATAATATGAGATCAGAGATCTCCATCCCAGTAATATTGTACAGTAAACAAAGGTATTTGGTATACAAGCAAAAATATTCATTTTCCCACTATTCTATTGCCGCCTATCCTATAAAAAAAGCGTTTCCGTGGCCCTGTCAATGTGTGTTGAAGGTGGAACATCATGGAGTTTTAGTATGTGCAAGTCCAATATAATCCGTTCTTGCCCCCGCAATGCAAGTATGTGTAGGTATTTTCTCATTTGAAATCCGGAATAAAATCCGTTCTGTAGTTACGAATAAAAACGTTGATAGATCAACGCAGCGTCGATTCTTACTTTATATGAAGTATAAAGCTTGTGTCTAAGGCCTAAATATTAATTGATACATTTATTTATTGTTTGGCATTATATTAATATGATACATAAATAGAATGGATGTTACGGGTAGGCCTGAGTATAGAATTCTTGTCGATATATTTTTAACACTGTCTTATCTCTATTATTAGTTCCGTAGACGTTCACTTCTGCTATCAGCGCCAAAATGGTGAAAATCAAATCGCCTCATTATGTCACGGTTATAGCCAGTCCTATGGTCAGTGTTATTTTCACACTATTACACACTACTAAGCACTATTGGTTGTTATAAATTTGGCGTTGATTATTTCGCATAAATGCTAGTTACTGTTTAACGCGATCTAGCGCATTTTTAAATTACTGACAGCGCAATTAAAGGAGTTGGCAGCACTTGTCAATCTGTTCGTTTCTTAGCAACTGAAAATCTGTGAAAATCCTGAAATTAGTATTTTTACATGAGGTGCATTTAAAAACAAAAAATTGATCATTATAAATATTTATCATGAGTGCAATAAAATTATCATTGGATACGTTCTCATTAGACAGGAAAACTGATGTTGAGCCATTAGATCCTGTGATGGAAATAAATGAAAGCATAGTTACACAAATTTTTGATAAACCTCGTGAAGAAGGCGAATTTCAAGAATTTTCTCCTCGAATATTTGGTTTAAAAGATATAAAAGAACCACTTACTAAGGAATCGTTGAATAATGCAATTTATGAACTTGGTATCGTAAATTTGTGTTGGCCTGAAATAGAAGAACCAGTTTTTGAAACCAGGACATGTTTTCCTAAAAGTTATTACACAAATACCGATAAAGAACGGCTTTTACTAGCTTACGCTGAAAATTTTAGACGGCAGTTTCAATTCCATTACAAATTTCGGAGACCCTTGTTACTGCAAGCTCCAAACGAATGCGGCATGCAGGTGACAATAATAGATTCATATTATATTATAAATTCATATATGCCCATTTAGTAAAAGTGACCTCTTGAAGAGGTTGCTTTATTTAAAATACAGATGTTTTAATCAAAACAATCGTTTCCGTGACTACATAATTTTTAACTAGATGGCGTTGATTGTTACAGTTATAATTCAAATGTTTTATAAAATGAACTTATTTTTCCTTTTAAGAAAATGGTTTGCACAACGATCAGGCCCACAAAGATTTGCTACGCTGGCACTAACACATGGGAAGGCGTTGCGACATTAGTATCTGATTATTTTGATTACGAACCTCTGACGAAGCCTATGTTACATGTGAGTAATTTTATTTATATACAGCTTACTTTAATCTAAATAGTTTTTGCAGAGAGTTTTAAATTTGAATACCTAGTTTCTATATTTTTTCCCGATAAATATAATATCAGAAATAGCTTTTTGTTACCTTTTTGGTAGCGCTAAATAGCGAATATGCACAATAGATGGCGCTACGTGTAGGTATTTTTCGAGCTTCCTAACCTAAATCCAGAAGAAACAGAGACGGATTATAGTTATAGCACAGAATAAATAATAGTTGGTTATAGGTTAATTAGTAACGTAATTAAGTAATCTGTGTTATAGGTATTACAGAAATAAAAATTAATATATTTTTTGAGTTCTTAGACAAATAACATTTCCCACATGTGTAATTGGAAACTAATAAGTACCTACTTTTAATGTTTTTTACTTTGCATTAATAAAAAAATATTTAAGGTCTTGAAAACATTAATAAATAGTTACAAAAATATTTACTGATGCAATAGATATAAGAAAGAAGTTGTTTTTTATATTTCTATGACTGATGCAGTAGATAAAGGAAATCGAATGAGCAAAATCAATTTTTCGTTAAAATATTTGCGCGATAGGATCTTTTTAATTTATGATTTTACAGTCTTACTATAGGTACTTACAGAAAGAATTTTCTTCAAAACAATAGAGTGGTTCATAAATTTTAATACATTGAAATTAATCGATGTCGTTTCGCTTTCGCAACTTTGAAAAACTGTGAGCGCTTAGTCGATCGTCAAATTAATAGTTCTAACCGACTTCATAAAAGTAGGAAGTTTTAAAGTTCATTTAATGTTTTTGTATTTGATATCTTCGATTGTGAACAGTTTTTATTAGGTATCTAATTATTTTATTACGAAACGTTTGTACGGCTCGTTCACGATGAGTATTGAACTATAAGGTATCGCACTGATCAGATGAACTGTGGTAGCCAATTATTTTTCGACTGCTCACCAGCATTGTCAAACTAAATCATTTTATTTCTGATGAAAAATTCCACCGCTAGTGGAACCAACCACACTTTGTGGTTGTAGGGAGAATTTTGGAGGCTTTGTTTTCTCGTGATAGAATCAATTGTTTTTTTAATGTTATAACTAAATGAATAGATATTGTCGAAGTGAAAGAGGGATTACAATTTATACTAAGTAATTGTTTCTTTATAAATACCAATATGTCAGCGTATTAACAATCCCAACTTAGTTTTGTTAGAGGTGAATTGGTAACTAAAAAAAAAAATACACAACTGAAAAATAAAAATGCAATGGAGGTATTTAACTATAACATGATTGATTGTTTAACTCGATATGCGATCATAAAGTACGCCACGCTCATGAATCTAATTCCTAAACAGAAATATGTTCAGTATCTACAACTCTTACCTTTGATGTATTTATTGAACTACTCCATATCATTAAAAATAAAGATTCCAGAGTGATTACAAAATTACAAGAAAGTTTTGTAGGTCAATCGGTCCTGAAAAAATACGTGGTTGCAATTTTTTGGGTAATGTATGAGCTACTTCTATTAAAGTTGGTTTATGATCAATTGGCATAGAGCTCCGAGTTGCAATATTATGTCGTTTAAAATTATTTTTGAATTGGCCAGCTCCTGCTGGATGATCAAAAGGCGCCAATCTAGAACCTAAATATTCCATAAAATCGTTAATTCTAATGTATATTTTTCACACGAGTTTCTGAAGAGCCATTGATTTGCCTTCAATATTTATATTTCGTCAACAAACGAAATTCAACGGTGATCAAAATTTGAAGTGCTATTTTACTGGCATCATTTTCATATGATTAAAACGACTAAAATGTTTGTGACATTTTTTTTTAATTATAGAATAAGGGTGACAAACGAGCACACAATCCAACTGATGGCAAGTGGTTGCTGTGGCCCATATACATCTACATCTATCTTTGATTACGAATCAAAATGCAGATGCGTTGTCACCCGTGAGGAATAAGATGAAATGCCTCGTTTAAACTTTATAGTAAAAAAGGGTCTCCGGTTCTCTACATTTACCATACGAAACACAGCTGAGTTCGCTGCTATTCTTTTTTTTTATAGGATAGGGTGACAAACGAGCACACAGTCCACCTGATGGTAAGGGGTTGCTGTGGCCCATAGACATCTACATCTATCCTCAATAAAGAATCAAAATGCAGATGCGTTGTCACCCGTGAGGACTAAGATGGAATGCCTCTTCTCAAGTAAAAAGGGTCTCCGGTTCTCTACACTAACCATACGAAACATAGCAGTGTTAAGCTGCTATTCTGTGAGAGCGTGGTCCTACTCCGGTCGAGCCGATCCATTCGTGCTACAACTATACTACTAATATAGCTGCATCATGGCTCTACCACGTCCAAATAACATTTTGTGCATATTCTGCGAGAGCGTGGTCCTTCCCCGATCCAGCCGACCCATTCGTGCTACAACTATACTTCTAATATAGCTGCAGCATGGCTCTACCACGTCCAAATAACATTTGTGCATATTCTGCGAGAGCGTGGTTCTTCCCCGATCCAGCCGACCCATTCGTGCTACATCTATACTACTATATAGCTTCAGCATGGCTCTACCACGTAAAAAATAATGATAAACTTTATATCTTATGCCTGGTATTTTTTTTTTTTTTTTTTTATAGGAGAGGGGGCAAACGAGCATGCGGCTCACCTGATGGTAAGTGACTACCGCCGCCCATGAACAACCGCAACACCAGGGGAATTGCAGATGCGTTGCCGGCCTTTTAAAAAGGAGTAGGCTCTTTCCTTGAAGGTCCCTAAGTCGTATCGGTCCGGAAAAATCGCTGATGGTATCTATTATATATATGCCTGGTATGCAGACGATAGCACAGTTGTGGAGAGATACCAACCAAGTCCTCGGGCCAGTCGGGATCAAATCCAGTCCGAACGAAAAGCTATAGTAGAGCGTGTGAATCTCACATTATAGGCAGTCTCCGAATGGGATGACGCCGATCTTGCGAAATTTAACGCTTCCAAAAAACAAGCGTGTCTCATCACTGAAAAAAGGAGCCATCTTGGCTCTTTCTTTCCGAAATGTATCACTGGAATATACTGACCGTCTTCAGTTGTTAGGGTTTGAGTATCCTCAAATCTGAACTTCGGGCTGTTCATTGAGTCCAAGGTCAAAGCAGCTGCAAGGAAGCAGGGAGTCCTTGCAAAGGTGCGGCGATACTTCACCACGGAACAGCTGCTTACTTTCTATAAAGCGCAAGTCCGGTCGTGCACGGTATTGCTGCCATATATGGGCTGGTGCTGCAAAATTCCACCTAGCAGCTTTGGACTCAATAGAAAGGCGTGCTAAGAGTATTATTGGTGACCCAAATTTGGTTAAAACCAATCTTACCAGGCTCGAACACAGACGCAAAGTAGCCAGCCTTCCGGTTTTCTACGGGATGCATGTCAGAGAGTGTGCGCAGGAATTGGATAATTTAATTCCTTCCCCTCCCTTCTACCATAGGCCAACCAGACGTTCGGCCAATCTCCACCCTTTCGTTGTTGACTTACCACGCATTCGAACCAAACGGTTTGCTACGTCGTTCATCATGCGTACAGGAAAGGAGTGGAATAAGGCCCCCCGCGCACTAGGCAGCCTGGCTGCGGCAGCCAATCAAACATATATGACGGTGTGTGGGAGCCCGCGCACCTAAGCAGCCACGAACTCCCGGCTGCGGTAGCCATAAAAGCGCGTCCGATCGCACGGCAGCCCGTTGGCTGCGCGCAGCCAGAATGAGTAGGGCAAATGTATGTCGCTGCCGTCTGTCACCGCGCACTTGTGGTAGCAGCCAGGCGTATTTTGTGTTCCGAAATCACAAAATGACTTTCGATACCGAGAAATTTATTCGCGAAATTGAAAATCGTGAAGCAATATGGGATATATCTATAGGAGTATCATTGCCCTTGATTGAATTTCTTATATTTTCCAAAAGGTATCAAATGATTGCACTGACATTTTCGTGTTAAAAACCGGCCTGGGTATTTACGAACATCTTTGAAATAGGTATGAAATAAGCCTTTTTTTAACAAATCAACAAAAGTTGACGACATTTGTTTCAAAATGTTGCAAATCAAAGGAATACTCTTGTTGCCGACATTTGTTCCCTCGGTGGAGACGCTTCTTGCAACATTTTGAAACAAATGTCGTCAACTTTTGTTGATTTGTCCACATGTCGGAAACATAAATGTTGTCAACATTTTTGATGGAGACGCGCCTATACATATACTTGTTCCGTGCGGGATTCGAACCCGCGGCCCCCAGCGCAGCAACTCATTGCTAAGCCACTGCGCCACGGAGCCGTCTTTTGAGTTCCGTCCTAAAAGAGGATGAATTCAATGTCTTCTAGCTTTGCTTTTTTTACGAAGTACACACAAAGTTACAAGTTCTTCAACGTCCATATCCCTCGAAGAAAGTGTCACGACTGGCCATCCATTGGTTGTTGAAGTGACCACTCAAATATTTCGTACGCCGCATCCTGGCTGCGCAGCCAGGCTGCCTAGTGCGCGGGAGGTGTAAGTTGCCAGCATCTGTCTTTCCATCCGATTACAGTGTTCGTCTTCAAGGCAAGAGTGAATAGGCTTTTGTTAAGTCAGTGCGCTTCACCATCTTAGGCTACATCACCACTAACCATCAGGTGGGATTGTAGATAAGCGCTGGTTAGGAGAATATAAAAAAAATCTTGTTAACTAGATTAATTTCTTTATATTTTACTATCTGAATCGTATATAGTTGCATCCTCGTTGATGGCGATTTATTGGGATAATAAGCTAGAATTATTAAATTAATATAATCGGGACGATTTGGTCACTCAGCAACAAAGTCCTTTATAATAAATTAAAAAAAAAACCCTGACGTTTCAGCACTACGAAAATTCTTTGGAAGCGAGTAAACGAAACACAAGGAATAAATGAAACACAAGATTTCGTTAAAGGTTCAAATTTAATTCTTCAACATTTTCAAGATCACAAACTCTGCGTTAAAGAGTATAATTTAATAATCCAATTTTTTTCTAATTTTGTACAAAATATCTTCTCTCAAACAGTTTCCAATGGAAGTTAATATAATTAATACCAAAATCAATAAAACTATTCTAACTTCAATGGAAAGGAGATAGAATCTTTGAACTGTCGGCTGGTTGCGCTGCGCGGTCGGTGTTAGTCCCGCGCGCCGCAACTAGTCCATTGGACAAACTCTTTAACATCTTGATAATACACTCTATTCGTTAGGAATGTACTTAAATATTAATAATCTCTCAATAATTTATAATTTTGATCACAGAGTCCTTAACTTTTAACGTTTAACATATACAATTCCGAGTCGAGACATCGAGATTGTCTACCATATAAAATACTGAGCAATAAAAACAATTACACGAATGTCGATAACCATAGTCATCTATATCTTAACAATAACTACCTTGTCCGTACGATTGGCACATCAAATACAATCGCATCCTCTCAATATTTGGTATAGCTCACGACAACAATCAGACACGCATTTACCTCTAAACGGCCGAAAAGGACGCCATGACTTAGCATAAGATTTGACTTGAGGTAGAACATAGGGATCGCACTACTACGGTAGGGTACAACTAGGAATGTAAACGTTAATGGCAACATACAGCAACACTATCTAAACTAATCACATAACGTCTCGTGCGCATCGAAAAGTAACGTGACCGTGGATCAGTAACATTAATTTATCACTTACATTTATTTAATCAACACAATTAAGTTTGTTATAGACTCGGAAAAAGATTAACTATCAATGTAGAGATTCGACAAAGCCTTCAAAGGGACCGCATAGGATCCGTAACGCTTCTACATTAGGTCTTACAACTAAAGAAATATAATGCATAGCTTTTCTTTTAGAACAAAGAAATTACGCAAATTTGGCTACACATATCACAAGTGAACGCTTACTGGCGACGACGTAATTAAATATGTACAGATATAATTGAAATATTCCCTGTAGCGAGCGCGGAGCGGTGCGAGGCGTCTACTTGCGGCGCGCGGCGTGGTCGCCGGGCACGCTGGGCACGCTGGGCACGCCGGCCACGCCGGGCGCGGCGTGCGAGCGGCGCGCGCGCAGGTTGTGCAGCAGTGCGCGGAGCTGGTGCACGTGCATGCGGGTCACGCTCGGGTCGCCGCTCGCTTCCAACCACGCCAGGAATTTCTCACCGTGCTCCAGCGCCTCCGCCGTGCCCGACTCCCATTCCCCGTTAGCAACCTCGTTCGACTTCGCCTCCTCGCTCACCCCTTGGCTCGTGTTATTAAAGAGCAAATTGTCTAGCACATTGCGCGCTTTAGTTTGACTCTTGCCAGCTTCTACGTTCTTTTCGGTGGTCGGTTCCTTGTTCTCTGTTCCAACTTCGGGGCTCGCGACCGGCTCTGCCACACGCGCCTCTGGTACCGGTTCTCGTATTTCACTTTGTTGAGGCTGGATTTGGTTAGGGCATGTTGTTGCAGCTTGTTCTTCTTCTGCTTTTCCTTTGGTCAATTGAGAATATAAAATGTTTTCAGCAGTTTTGTCTTTCGGCACCTGTGAGGCAGATTTGAGCTTGTCTTCCGGGAGAGGCATGGCGCCTCCAAATTGTTTGTAGTATTGCCATAACCACGAATTTCTGTTATAATCCAAGTGGGAGTTTAAGGGCGGGGCGGGCGCCACTGGTTTCGGTGGTAGACTTGGTTCGCTCGGTTTGCTGAGCTGCAACGGATGAGCAGTCGTCGTTTGAGCGGTTAAATCGAGCATGGCTTGCTGAGTCTTCAGCCAATACCACAAAGTGTCATCAACTGGTTGGCTTGCGCTCTGAGAATTGCTGTGATGGCTGGATTTCGATCCGCTATGTCGATAAGGGTCTGAATGATGTGATTTGCTTCGATGTTTTGTCTCATTTAAATTGAGGACTCCATTGTGAGCAGGTTTTGGAGAGCGCACCGAACGAAGTGCGCGACTGGCCGGTTGAGCTGATAAGCCCGTTAAGCCGGGATTAAGTTGCGCGAGGAGCGTCAGATTAGTGGCGATCTCGTTGAAACTCAGTCCGAGGTGGGAGTGTGTAAGACCAGGCAGATGTGCGAGGCCCGATAGTGGGCTGATGGCACTCATGGAGACGCTAGCGCCGGGGTCGGGGCGGCGCTCGCGTGCAGCGGAATGTTGAGTGGTAGGCTCTGTGCGTTTAGTTGTGAGCTCAACGGGTGTATCGATGGGCGGCGGCGCGACTTGCGGCAAGCTGTGGGCCGAGGTGGTGGGCGTGGAGAGGTCGAGGCCCGCCGTCACCGGCGACTGGGGCGCGATAGGAGACTCAGTGCGAGCGCGCTTATCGGGCGGCTCGCCGTCATTGCTCTTGTCCGTGTCCGGGGACGACAGGCGGGATGTCATGTACCGCAGCTTGTCCTCGTTCTTACACCAGCCGCGTAGCGTCGACTCGGGTACACCGATGTCGCGAGCCACCGACGCCTTGGACTCTCCGTCGTTGACGCGCTGAATCGCTTCGATTTTATCGCTGGGTGTAAGAGCGCGCATCGGACGTTTGCCCTTTGTCGCCATTTTAGCGTCGCGTTTGCTGAAACAAAAAAAAACAATGTGAAAAAGCAATCTACGATTACGATTTGTATTTTAAGCTGTACCTTAAAATGATATTTGCAAAAAGAGTCTTAATTTTGATGTAATGATGTTCTGTGCCATTGGTTCTTGACAAGTAGATAAACGAACACTGGTGTATATCTCTCATATATCGTATTATTATGTCCTCCAACATTAGTATTAGAATATTATCTTCCATTTAAAAGGATAAATTAAAATGCAAATTACATCTGGGGTAGACAAAAACATCAGAAACATCATCAGGGTTACTGAACTCAACTTATCAAACGTGTTTACAATTTGCATATTTATTAAAAAAGAAGGTTATTTTGAAATTGAATAACAAATCATCGTGACCACTTCGCTATAGTTTGAACGATAAAATGTTTACGCGGGAAGCTATAAAGTTACGAAAAGATAAACAAAAAGAAGACATAAAATTATGACCTACGACAACAGTAAACGGCAAAAGTTGTCGGGTCGTTGACACGGTGACCTTGCAAACGAGCGCTTCGCGCTTCTCTCGGTCATCGCTAGGTGGCGTTATGCGACCGACTTAATACCATATAATTTTTTGCTAAAACAATAATAAGGGCCTTATTATTGTTTTAGCAAAAAATTATATGGTATTAAGTAAACGATAAAGTCTGCCTTATTATAAGGCAGACTTTATCGTATATTTTCGAGACATCGTCTGTAAAGGGTTGATCGTAATTTTTAAAAACAAATACCCAATATTGAAGATATAAGTACTATTTATTTAATTTTTTTAATAACTTTTATTAATTAAGGTACCATCTTTAATGCTATATTATTAGGAATAGACAATATAATATGTAATTTTATACGAATTTAATTAATTCTTTGACAGTTTACACAGTTGGCAAACTTTATAAGATTTAGTGAATTATTTGAAAATATATATCTCAATTGACTTTAATTAATTAATATATTAATAATTAAGAAACACTTCAGGAAAGAAGAAAATAAGACTATGAAAGTTCAGCCTATGAACTATATTTTGGTCATCGCAGTAGCATTTTTGGCATATTATTCTAAAGAAAATATTTTTCTTTAAGTGTTTATGATGGGTTAATTTTTTATAGATTTGATAAGGTCATTTTTACAATTTATGTACAGGCAACAAAGTTTGCAAAAACGTTAGGTACGCTAAAACAATACACTTAGGTACGTACTTATAATTTCACGCCCTAAAAATCTTTATTTATACTACAGTGGCTTTTTTAAATTTATATTTATAAGAGTTAATGACTTGGAGTTCTATTTTCTAATATTATTAAATGCAAGTTTGATTTTCTTAAGTTGTGGCATAATTTTCGAGAATAATTAATTTGTAATTATTAAAATAATATAGCCTGTCTTTTTAAAGTATAATTCTATTTTTTTTTAAAAATACTTATAAAAAATGTAATAATTGGTGGACCTACGGAGTAATATATGGTAAACTCGTTTCTTTTGAAATCGCATTTTTCGGACTACAAAACTTACATTTTGAGATGTGAATTTGAAATTTTAATAACTTAGACCAAGAGGACAAAAAAGTTTTTAATCTAAATCATAGAGATAAACGTTCTATTACATTATGTAAAATATTAAAGATACAAACAAAACTTACTTGTGGGCTGGCGTCACGTGCGCTGTGTTTACAATTTTTGACAGCTTCGTCGTTATTTCACTCCTCCAAAAGTATGAAACAATTGGTGTAACGTTTTGCAGACGCTTGGTCGGCACGTGTCAAGAACTGTTCACAGGTCGCGACTCGCGATTGCGGGCTTCACTCACTGTCACAAGTCACTGGCGCGATTCGGTTCGCGGGTCGGTCGGCTTGCACTCGCGGAAACGTGCGTCGCGAAGAACGCGAGGCGACTGTGTGCCGTTCGGTTTCGGTGATAAGGCCGCCCGGCCCGCGGCCCGCCGGCCGGCCGCGCCTCTCCTTTGTGTCCGTCCAACTCGCCCCCTTCACCCCCGCCGGCCCCGCTCGAACGGCCTAGCCTCCGCGCTTTATTAACGTAATTAATTCCGAACGCATCGACTTTCTACCGATCTCAAAAACTGCACTCGAGTTCGTCTCGTCCGCCTTGAACCTTCGACGACTTTATCAAACTGTTAGTGCACAAAGTTTTTAAATAAAAAGCAAGATGCCGCTACAGCCTTTTTTTCATAAAAAGTGAATGAATTATGTTTTGTTATTTAACGGGCGCGCTACGAGTCCGTAGCGTCTGTGCTACGTTTGTAAACAATCCGTAGAAAGTTGTTGAACCTACGGGTAATTGCGGTAATAAATTTAAAGCTGTTTATCGGATGTTCATTCTGTTAAGTTTTAATTTTATTTGTTTCAACACCGGCATTTTAATATACTTTGTGTAATCGTTTGTAATAACTTTATGAATTTTTATTCTTTGAATGTTAAGGTTATGAATAAAGCTTAACGTTAATACGACTAAGTAAGAATATAAAAAACAAACTAAGTGAATCTGGTAACCACTCCAAATAAGCTTTTCATTTTAAGTTTGTAGATCATGTCGCTCTAAAGCAAAACCATCTTAACATAAACCTTGCAAATAAAAACTTTTTTAGTTTTTGTATTGAAATATTTTAAACTTAACAAATTAGGACTTATGTAAGTGGAATGTGTAAAAATAAATGAAAGTTAGTAATTTATTAGCTTTTTTCAACAATTTTCGCATGGAGCAAGAGGCTTATCGGCGACAAAATACTGGTGGAAACTAAACTTCACAGCATAACTTACCGCCGCCAAGTTGCTTGTTTGTCGGTCTTCTACGGATTGTACTTCGGAGAGTGTGCCAATGAGATTCATAAGCTCATACCGCCATCTCCATTCTTCCATTTAAAATACAACTCTTACGGAAATAAAATAATCACCGTAGAATAATTTCGATGCATTCGACTGTTTTATATCGATTTGTCTAACGATAGATTGCCGTTAACACTGACCTAGACATTTTTTCCCGGCCACTAAAGTTTAGTGATGGGTACTGCATATCGAAACTTCTATCCGTGCGTTAAACTAGGTCATGCGTATTTATTTTTTCAACATTAACGCCACCGTGATTCAACGGTTGGACTATTTGCAGTGGAAACTTATGGTTGTAAGGCTAGTAAATAATAATGCAGACTGGGAAAGGTGAACCAACGTGGCTTTTGGATTTCTCTCTAAGTAGTGCCTTTATTGTATTGTCTTGCCAGCTTGCCACTAAGTGTTCCTAAGAGATCGGACTTTAAAAGTTACTGTTTCAGCCTATTAAAGTCCACTGTTGAACATAGGCCTCCCCCATAGATTGCCTCATAGGGATATTTGCCATAGTTGCCACGCTTGGCATGCGGGTTTCCAACCGCAGCTTTTTTATATTGTAATAAGCCAGCGCTTATCTACGATCCCATTTGATGGTAAGTGGTGATGTAGCCTAAGATGTTGAAGCGTACTGACTTAACAAAAGCCTATTCACTCTTGCCTTGTGAAGACACCCACACTGTAATCGGATTGAAAGACAGATGCTGGCAACTTATTCCACTCCTTTGCTGTACGCATGATGAACGACATAGCGAAGCGTTTGGTTCGTCAACAACGAAAGGGTGGAGACTGGCCGAACGTCTGGTTGTCCGAGCTTTTAGTTTTTAGTCGTTAATAGGAAAATGCTGCTGCCCATCTCCTGATTTGTTTCCCTCTGTCGCCTCTTACGACAGCTATGGGATAATATGGGGTAGTGGATATTCTTACACCGTCACTACGCAGGAGCTATTGAAAATGTAAATACTATAAAATAAAATATACTATTTAAATAATGCTTTACCTTTTTACTTGGTTAAGGATTAATAGATAATAAGATTTATTAAGAATCCAATAGTAGACCCATGAGGACTGCAATGGAATCCCTAGTTACTAGAACCCATAAAATACTTTTATTGTTAGGTCTCATCATTCACCATAACACTCACAGAATACCTATGTTAGTAGCCGTATACTGATGCTGGTATTCTGTGTGAACGTGGTCCTTCCTACGTAAAGAACTTTTGTTTTGGTTTAACTGGTTTTATAATTTGACTAGCTGTTCCCCGCGACTTCGCCCGCGTGTTATTTGGAGTTTTAAGTTTTTTTTTTGCACGGAACGCTAATACTTTTTCTAAAATAAAAGTAGCCTAAGTTACTCCTTGTGACATCAGCTATCTGCCAGTGAAAATCCCATCAAAATTGGTCCAGCCGTTTTGGAGAATACCCGGAACAAACAGACAGACAGACGAACAGACAGACAGACAGACAAAAACTTTAAAAATTGTATTTTTGTTATTAGTACCGTATATACTTTCATATGCATTTAGTAAAAAGCTGTAATTTTGACATTACAAACAGACACTTCAATTTTATTTATTTGTATAGATATAGATTAAGCTTAAGATATCCGACACAATGGTTTTTGTTTACCTACGACGTCACTTGTTATATATGGCAGTGCGTAAATTATACAAAATAAAGGTATGTAGGTATAGTCTTCCTGCATTTTGGAGACAGTTTACATACATGAACTTGGAAGGACAAACATGATTGGATAAACAGAGCAATGATTTGAAGGCCATACAAATATTTGTTCCGTGCTGGATTAGAACTCGCGGACCTCAGCGCGACGACTCATTGCTAAGCCACTGCGACACGTAGCCTTCGAAAATATTATAATCCTGTGGGTTCGTAGGTCGCCACAAAGGGAATCTGACGAGGTCAAACAGCGGATGGACAGAATTTTCCTAATAACATCTTAATGATATTAACTGCTGCTAAGTGGCAAATATGGCAATCTATTTTAAAAATCGGTGTTCTAGACTAGACTTCTGATGAGCTCTAATTAATAGATTTTTTTTATAGGATAAGGCTGACAAACGAGCACACAGTCCACCTGATGGTAAGTGGTTGCTGAGGTTCATAGACATCTACATCTATCCTCTGTTACAAATCAAAATGCAGATGCGTTGTCACCCGTGAGGACTAAGATGGAATGCCTCATTTCCAGTAAAAAGGGCCTCCGGCCACCTGCACTCACCAAACGCAGAGGTAAACCTCTACTTCACGCTGGTTTTCTGTGAGGTCGTGGTACCACCCCGGTTCGGGCCGGCCCATCCGTGCGACAGCAAAAGCTGCCGCGTGGCTCTACCACTGTTAAAATATAAGTGTTAAAATATAGATGAAATATAGGTAAAGTAGCGAATATGGCAGTCCCCAGGCAAGAACATGTTTTGTGATAGAACGTTAAAAATGTCAAAATAATGAGTACGTCATCAGTATCGTACCTATTTTTTTCTTTTTCGGAGGAATTCGATGAAAACATGATGTACTTATAGAATGAATTTTTGAAAATAGATGTCTCTAATAAAGTCTGTCTAGACTTTTGTGCAACTTGCACAATGCCATGTAATTTAAAGTACACAAATTGATTTTCTAAATGTTACGCTATGACACTTAACTGAGTAATTTGTAAACGTAAGCGTAATGTACCTTTTTAAAACTAAAGACCTAACAATCATTATTATTGTAACAATATATATAAACGAAATACCTTATTTTATTTTATAATTTTCATTATTTATAAAAAGAAAGACTTATTATGATTTCTGCCTTGTTCAATGACAATAACTCAAATAATGATTCGTTTATGACACCTTAAATATGTGTTCTACTTAATATATTTTATTGTCATATCTACTTTTCTTGATAAGGTTTATGTATATGATATATAATTATAATGTATTACAGAAATATTTATAAAAGTGTATGTACTCTATGTATGTATATGTAGGTATATGTGTATATGTATGTGTGTATGTATATATTTGTTTATGTGTATAGATATATACAATATTATTTTTAATATATGCTTGTTTATCTACTATTTATGCACACTTCTATATATTTAAATGAAAATTATCTCCTTCACTAAAGTTTGCCTGGAAGAGATCGCTGTTTAGCGATAAGGCCACCTAATTGTACATTCGTTGATAAATTTAAGTTTCACAGCAAACTGTTGTGTAGTTTTATGTGCAATAAAGAGTATAAATAAAAAAAAATAAAGACAACGTAACAGGTAATAACTGTACGCGCAGAATAATAACAGGATTTCAATTTTGCTGACGACTTCATCTTTATTCTATAAACGTCAATTTTCACGAGTGACAGAGAAGTCGCTGCTTGGAATAAAAAGGGTCGTGGTGACAAATCACAAAATAAATTGGTTAAATTTAAACAGTCACTTTATTGAAAACTAGCGACCCGCTCCAGCTTCGCCTGCTGTTTTATGTTATCGTTTAGGTTGAAGATCATCACGGAACATTTTTTATCAATTTTTCGATTTTACAAAAAACATTTTTTTATAGTATAGGGTGACAAACGAGTACACGGTTCACCTGATGGTAAGTGGTTGCTGTGACCCATAGAGATCTACATAAATTCTCAATAAAGAATCAAAATGCAGATGCGTTGTCACCCGTGAGGACTAAGATGGAATGCCTCTTTTCCAGTAAAATGGGCCTCCTAAATCGCTATGTTTTTCGGAAAAATATAAGGCCTAGATCACTCGTGGCGTTGTACTCTATCTGTTTGTGTAGTTTCATCACAATCAGATTCAGCCAATCCGAAGATTAGCCTAGAGAGACAGAAAAAAAATGGTTATCTATGTTTTAAAACAGCATACAAATAACACTGTGAGCTTAATATAAGGCAGTATAAATGTTATTATTTTATGCAACACTGTGAATAAGTACACATAAGTAGTATTTATTTTACTTTAAAAATTGTTCTATTCCTTTCAGATAGAGTCATGGATACTATAAAATGGCCACAGCTTTGTAGCTTTGGACCTCAGTTTTTACTTTCGTATAATATCTTGAGAGAAACGACGATATCGTCTAACAGACTAGTTTCATTTGACGCTTAGTTATATTATAAATTATCTTAAATTTTTATTAAAATCAAGTTTAAGAAAAATAATAAAATTACAATAAATTAATTAAGTTACAGCCTTTTTATGTCCCACCGCAAGGCAGAGCCTTCTCTCATCTTTGAGAGGGGTATGGAGCAATTAGACTTCACATTTCCCCCAAATATTTTATTTCTTAACATTCAGGTCTCTTCGCCGTGTTTTCCTTTACCGCTAAGCACGTGGTAAATGAGAACTTAAAGTAATTAACAATTTCATTGATGCAACGGGGATCTCAGGTTGCTAGAGTAGTATGATATTTACAGCACGCACTTAGCCACTGAGCAACCGCTGCTCTCTTACCACGTAAACAGAAAAAAAAACCCCTAGTACTTACAATTATATGGCACAAAATAGGAAGTTGATAGTGAAAGCAGATCGAATCGCACTCTTTTTTGTTTTTAGTATCGAAATAAAAGTCCCTTATCCGATGTTCCTTAACGTTCGTGTTTGTCCCTGATTGTCAGAGTTTATCGTGAATATGAACAACAAAGTTTGAACTCTCTCCGTATTTTGTATACTTTAACTTCCGGATTCGATGTCTCTAATTACGACGTTCACCGATAAATTCCTCTAAACCTAGAGTAATTAATTACTCTAGGTTTAGAGGAACTTAGTGGCGAACGCGTCCGTATTTCTGGTTTACGAATTTTGAATATAATAATATCGTAGGTTTGCTAACACCGTAATATTTTGGGAAACAATTATAATCAAAAGTGTGTAGGGAAATAAAACATGATGAGAAATTCTTCATTACTGGAAATTAAAAAATATATTAAATGTTCCAACAGCGAGCCATTATAATTACATGTTGTGAGGCATTCTATCTAAGTCCTCAGAGGTGACAATGCTTCAGTAGTGTTCTTTGTTTGAAGTTTGCTGCAGGTGTCCATGGACTGCGGTAACCACTTACCATCAGGTAGACTGTAAATGCTTTTGGTACTTAGTTTTATAATATACAAATAAAAAAAAAATTAAAATAC